TTCTTTACTGAAAATTTGCATATAAAACTGAACAAATTTTACAGAACATTTACAAAAAAATACTGAACATATAATTTGTCCTCAAAAGAAATTTTCCGTCAGAAAACTAAACTCAAAATTTTGAGAAACTGATTGCATATTCGGATTTCCCGACCCGATTTACTTTCAGCAATTTTTATAAAATATCGTTATATTCTCGAAAAATCCATTCCTTTTTGAAAGTAGTCTTGGACTGGTAACCGTAGGTACGGTTCTCGTCACTGTTGCATCCCTATTTGTATCTATGATTGGACAAATTCAAAATACACGAGCAAGTATCTTTTTATAGGTCTACGAACTTTAGCAAAAGACCTTCATGAACTAGTAGAATGTTAGTTGCTGTCAAATAAGAGACACTATCTACCGAATGATTGATTGATAAGTGTCGAGAAGTGCAAAAAATAAACCGACGTTATTTGTATGAAGTCTTATTATGAATTTCACTTGTTGGTGAATATTTTTATTTTGAATTATTATTTATATTTTCATTGTACTCGAATAATGGCATTGTCTCTATCGTTGAATAACTTAATTAGCTTCTGTTAATAAACTTCCTAAGATTAAACTCTGTTTCACTAGCAAAGATGATGATGAATGCGGGTGTGGGTGTGGTGCGTGTTTCTGTGTGTCTTGTCTTGACAACTCACACCCACATCCACAAAACAAAATCATGTGCCTTGTTTCAGAACTGAAACTGACGAAGAATACATGACAGATGGGTCAGTGCCAAAGCGAAAAATCGACTCGAGTAGCACCCTTGACTAGTGAGACAAGAGGGCTTCTCATAAATGGAAGAAGTTCTTCGGGTGCTACATCAAAAACCGAACCTGCGTACTGCACTGTTATGATAAGCTATTGCTGGGATGATAAGGTTCTCTGTCACAAGCTCGCTGATGGTCTTATCAAAGATGGTTTTGGCGTTTCAATCGATCGCGACAGAATATACCACGCTTTCGATGCGATTACAGCCCAAGAAATAGATGACAGTGACTGCATTTTCTTTGGATTAGTTAGCTCTACATTCACAATTATTATTGTCAAAAAGAAGCTCGCTATGCGTCAGATCAACGTAAGGCCATCATTCCTGTTGCTCTTACATCGGATAATGTCACCGAAGGATTGCTCAGTTTTATCATTTTCGATAAACCTTATTTCAAACTGGCAGAATCCGGTAGTGATTTCGAGATGGCCTACAAGAAATTAGTCAAGAAATTAGTGAGTATTGTTCGATCTATCAAATAAAATACCTTTAATGTACATGGATGTGCGTGCTATTGTAAAATAAGAGTGTCTCGTATGTTTAGCTCCAATACAGAAGAATAGGTCCATCCGTGAATTGGAAACGTCGTTCACTACTTACAGAGAAACAGATAGAAGAACGTCGGGTCACGTACGAAACTGCTCTAAACAAGCAAATAGAGTATGATCAACCCAAAACCATGGAAGTAAAACAAAATATCAACCAGTTGCTAGGATTGAGCGAAAATAAACAAGACGAGGAAGATTCAGCATCTGTACACAAAAGTGTGGGCCTTACAAACTTAAATGCACTTACAAACTGGAAAGAAAAATATCCTCAAGTGATGTGGTTGAACTTTCCACCATTCACACCAACAGGTGATATCAACGATGCCATATTTCTTCTGCCATCGAGTGTTGCACGTGATGGTAGCAGCCATCTACGACATTGGATCAACCATCATCAAAGTTATGAGTCTGCCAACCTAGAGAATGTCATTCGAGAAAGACATCGGCGTCGTTTAGCGATACAGTCGACGATGCATGATCATGCTCACGGCAAGAAACTTTCCGACAAACCAGACCAATCCGTTTTGACTTATATGAAAAGCCTTGAACGACATTGGTCATTTAATACCGGTATTTCGAAAAGAACAACCGTTTGGAACACAATCGATGGATATATTGGCTCAGCTTTGAAAACTAGAGAAGAAATAGAACGTCGACAGAGGCTTGATTCTGACCTAAATATAATGAGACAGAGACTCCGGCAATTATCAGCATATTTTCGAGCGGAACCTGATACTTTTTGCAAGTTTGCAAAACAAATGCGATGGAATATAATGGAGTGGGAAGAAGCATGTCAAAAAACGTTCGTTCGAAAGAAAAATGTTACAGTAGAAAATAAATGACTGCATCAATGAGATTATCCTCTAATCAAATATCTTCACTTTAAGGGTGTGGGTGTGGGATGCGGGTGTGGGATGTGGGTGTGGGGTGTGGGTGTGGGATGTGGGTGTGGGGTGTGGGTGTGGGGTATGGGTGTGGGTGTGGATGTGGGTTGGTGTGGGTGTGGGTGTGGATGTGGGTGCGGGTGTGTGGGTGTGTCGGTGTAAATAGGGTGTGGGTGTGGGTGTGGGTGTGGGTGTGGGTAGGTATGGGTGTGGATGGGTGTGGCTATGTGCGTGTGGGTGAGTGTAGGGGTGGATATCTTATCATCACACGCACCAACATCCACACCATCACACCCATATCCACACCCATGCCCACACCCGCCCACAGCCATACCCGACACATCCACACCCACACCCCAAAATAGCTGGAACGCAGAATAATGGACAACTTTTTTTTTCACTCCCTTCGAGTATCTTCTTTTCAAGGATTGCATCTTAATAAAAGAAGATACAGTTGTCTTGAATCTTTAAATTATTATAGAGCTTGGCCTGCTCTACAAAAATGTCTGGAACACCTTCTCTTCATCTCTTTCGAAAGGCATGAAAAAAAACTTTTTTCTCTAAAGTTAAGTTTTTCTATGTATTTTATTAGAAGATGCAGAATTAGGGACATTTTTCTGCTGATCTACAGAATTAGGAAAGTACCTTCTAATTCTGTCGGGTTAAGTTGTTTTTCGTAGACCGATAATTTCACCATGAAAATATGAAAGTATGAAAACTAGAAAATAAATAATATATCATTTGAAAGAGAAGAATCCGGAGAATCCCTGTTTGAAAAAATATCTTTGATCGGATGTAAAATAGTCTCGTACTACTTAAAACAAAACGTGGTAAAATTTTTCCGACAGAATTAGGGAAATGTACTGTACCATTTTTTTTATTATCCCATTTCATACTTATTTGTTAACCTCATTAATTAAGTCGTCACTAATGTTGATTAAAATTTATTCAGATAACAAATCGACCTAACTCGAAACTTAATGAAGTCCATTTTGACGAGCAAAATATTTAAATTTATGTTGAACTTAAATCTTCGCAAAGTGAAATAGAAAATAAATAAAGAGAGAAAGAAACACAATATAAGTATACATATGTTCGGCTATATCTTCCCTAATTAAATATTCTTTTGTGATTGTTTTCATTTTTATATTGTTGTTCTTACGTAAGTATTCAGAAATAAAACACTATTTTTAAGAAATATTCTAGAGCAATAATTATAAGGAAAAAATTGAAGAAAAGATTTGGTTTCAGTTACGTTTAGACAGTGGCTGCCTTCGTCGCTATCTGGCGACCGTCATTGTCCTCCGAACCGCTTGCGGCTCGTTTCTTAGGTGCGGTGCACATATTTGTTACATGTCATATGCAAATAAAATCATAAATATTTCTTGTCATATATGGTTGTATTCTCTTTCTTTCGACCTTCAGATAAGTGCATATAATGATTGTTCTTGTGTTCTTATCTTTCACATTATTTTGATCAAATACACAGTGACACCATGTTTTCTTCGGTAAAGGATAAAAGAAAAAATGTATTAGGTACGATATAAATTAATTTCTACTTTTAGAACAGTGTAACAAGGCTTGCTGCTAATTCACGACAAGTAGATTCAGTCGTCAATGAACAACAACCTTTAACGAATTCATCGGAAGCACCTCTACACAAAAACCAAACAACATTAAAAAGACAACTTAGTCTCTTTTCAGGAACTTGCTTTATTATTGCGAATATCGTTGGTAAGTATATTAGATATTTTTTCATTGAATAGCTGCCTTCCTCTCGATCATTTCGTCTAGGTTCGGGCATATTCATTTCACCGCAAGGTGTTTTAAAATATACAGAGTCAGTTGGATTATGCCTTGTCATTTGGACAGCATGTGGCATTGTTTCAATACTTGGTAAGCTACTCATTGAATGATGAATAACTTTTAATTTTATAGTCTATGTAGGTGCTCTATGTTATGCAGAAATTGGGACGATAATTCCGCTGAGTGGTGCCGAACTGGCTTACATGACAGAAGGTAGAGGTTTAACTTCATCATACATTTTTTCATTGTTCTTTGTTCGTGCTAGGAATCGGTTCTGTTCATGCACGTACAGGTGATGTTTTGGCATTTCTTTGTAGTTGGGCCGGCATATTTATCTTAAAACCGTCAGGTACCGCTGTTGTAATTCTTGCCGGTACTCAATATTTATTATCGGGTGTAATCAATGGTAAGGAAGAAGATTTGCATGAAATTATTCTATTCTTTATTATTTTTGACAGATTGTAGTATATCCGAAGAACTCATCAAGATTACAGCGATTTTTCTTCTTCGTAAGTTAGTTATTATTAATTTCTGGAATAGTAATCTATATTATTCATTCGATTAGTAATTATGGGTGCTGTGAATGCGATCAGTGTATCTGCAGCCAATCGTTTGAATATTGTGATTGTCACATGCCAAATTACTACAATTGTAGTGGTGATTATAGTTGGACTAGTGCGAATCGGACAAGGTATTTTAGTCTGCATTTTAAATAATTATGAATAATCATGCTATTTGCTTGTCTAAATTAGGTTATACACAACATCTTCAAAGTGGTTTTACAGGTGAATCTGCACATCTAGTTTTTGATAACTAAACCGAACACATGATTTTGTTTTTTTAGGTATAACAAAGAAGCCACTAGCTATTGCTTTGGCTTTTTATTCGGGCCTTTGGGCATACGACGGATGGAAAAGTTTGAACTCGTTGACTGAAGAACTAAAAAACCCTAAAAGGTATCGATACATAAAAGGTTGTAATTGATTATCATTTGTATGACATTCGTAGAAACCTCGGTTTAGCTATTATCTTAGCACTACCAACTGTTACCATTCTGTATGTTCTTACCAATATTTCTTATTTTACAGCGATGAGTCCAGCAGTACTACTTAATTCGAATGCTGTTGCTGTGGTTAGTGTCATCATCTTCATGATGCTCATATTCTTCTAATATATAGACATGGGCTGAAATGGCGTTACATCCTTTTGTTCGTGCTCTGCCTATTCTCATTGCAATCAGTGCATTAGGTAACGGTAATGCAGGAATTTTGGGAAGTTCTCGTTATTGTATGGTTGGAGCTCGTTATGGTTATTTACCAGAAATCTTTGCATATATTCAAAGACAACGACTGACACCATTACCCAGCATTGCTTTGCAGGTACTAACATTTCATGAGATTAACTCCCTAAAACTTCTCAGTTTCATGTATTCATTGCATATTTAAATAGTTCTTTTTTCTTCCTCTTTGACAGATCATTCTCTGCATTGTTTACTGCATTCCAAGCAATGTTAATACATTGATTAATTTTTTCAGTTTTGTTGCTTGGCTTTTCTATGGTCTAACTTTTACCGCCACCCTATGTTGTAAATGGACTAAAAAGGATGCTTATCGTGCGATCAATGTTAGTTACATATAAGTTATGATATTGCTTATTTCTTTTTATGTTAGGTTCCTATTCCTATTATTGTTCTCGATATTCTTATTGCCATTTATTTGGTTCTGATTCCTGTTATTTCCGATCCACACTTTGGCTATCTTATTGCAGGAGTTCTCATATTATCTGGCTTACTATTATACTATCCATTTGTTTATCGGAAAGTCGAATTTCGATTTATGAGTAAGTGTATTGTGATTATATTCAACCTCACTCTTGTTTTCTTTTAGAGCGCATTAACTTGTTTCTTCAGATACTTTTTGATCTACAAAAAAGCGAAGTCAATATTAATACTTAATGATTTCTATTTTTATCTTTGTTTGTGTTTTTCATTGAACTCATTAAGAAATGAATGAATAAACGAAAAAACATCCAGTAACTGAGTCTATAAAACCTCTTGCTCTAGTCATCAAGACAAAACTTCGATGAAAATTTCAAAATTTTCTAATGAATTGCTCTCAAGAAACGTAGAAGAGGGGATCCTCTAAATGATACCAGCTGTTAAACTGTAAAGAATTTATGTATAAACAATAAAAAGAAATTCTTTTAAAATAAAATTAATTTTTAAATAATCAACTTGATCATCAATATTTTTCTGCTTTCCCTAATTTAACTAGCGTGACCTCATGCATACTCCACGGTTGCTTTTTTTCTGTGAAGTTTCACATCTGTGCTTTAGCCTTGGTTCCGTAATAGACTAACAGATGTCGCATTATATATATAGATAGACCTCATAGCCTTATACCCTTGTAATGTCCATTTCAGAGTTAAATGGCTGTGGCTATTTTTTGAATAAATTTTGATTGACTGGGGCTATTGAGCTCGAAATTGCGTAGTTAGAAAGAGCAGACTTCAAAGTATCTTTCTGTACGAGTCATTTGAGCTCATAGACACTTTTTTTTACGACTGTTTATACTTCGATATGTTGTTTTCATGTCTTTTCAACGAGTTTTCTCGACATTCTAACTTCCATTATCCCAAATTGTAGCCGGAATTTCGCTGAATATACAACAAAATTCCTATACATCAAAGTGACTTTGTTGAAGAAGAGAGATCAAAAAGACGATGTGAAAGTGTCAAAGTTTTGCCATGCACACAGCGGAATTCCGAAGTGTGTTTGTGGTGTATGAGTGCGGGTATGATGATTACGTGTGACTGTGGGTTGGTGATTGGTGTGGACTTTTTGCTCAAGAACATCAGTCCTTACCGACAGCCACACCCATATCGTCTGCCTGACATACCAAGACTCATGCTTCAGACTCACACCTTCCTCTTACAGGTATATCCTTGTAAGGCCCATATCATGCACTATCGTTTGTACACATTGATTTTGTTACAGTACTGCAAACACAATCCAAATGGTGTAATTTCCGATGATTATGAAGTGCTGAAGATTAGTTAAACTTTTGAAACGATTATTACTTAATTGAAGCAGTTGAGCCGACCCATGATTTTCATAATTAAGGAAATTCATACTACTTGGATTATTTTTTAGAGTGATCTATCAAAACAAATGTGTATAAAAGATGGTGTAAGATTGAGGCGATATAAATATAATAAAAATGCGGAAACTTCGGATTTAAATCCGAGAGTTATGTGTACTTCAAAAAGTAAATCATACAAATCAATCATCCTAGACTGTTTGAATGTCAAAATTATACTGTGAAATCTACCTTTTAAAATGTTGATTTCTATTGCGCGTTGTCAAACCAATAGGACATGGGACCGAATACAGCTCAAGTTTGAACTTTTTCCCTTGATTTACCCTAAGAAAGTCGTTTTTCCTATAACTTCATTTCTATTGGTCACTGCACAACTAATAGTATTTCTATGGAAGTGCAGTACACATTTGAGTTCTCCATATCTGAAAACCTTGAAGTATCATCAGTGTAACCGGAAGATAAAGCTCTATTTGTGGATCCATTAGATCGTGAACCAAAAAATAACCTAGTTCTCTTTAATTATCCTTGTCATAGGTAAGTCAACCTTCTTGTTTCTTTATGTTTTATATATCATTTTGTAGTTCTTGAAATTCTCTATCGAACGGTATATAATAGTTGGGGTTTTAATTGACTATGATAGGAAGTCTTTTACGAAAGTCGCGATGGGTCCACTTTTCCACTTAAAGCTGTAGCAAAAAATGGGTATTTTTGCAATAACTCAGGAACGGCTAGGGCGGTCCTTCTCATCTTCTTCTCTCGACCGAGAGATTGTCAAGACTAAGCTGTATAGAAAGTTTCATCGCAATCTGACTCTGCTGTCAAAAGTTATCATGTAAACAGCCAACCGGACGGACGGACACACTGGCTATTCTATAGTGTACTCACTTTTTGAGTACACAAAACTATGATTCGGGTCAAAACTAATATTCGATTCAGAATTAGCGTTAAAAACTGAGTCGATTTATGTATTTTGTGAATAATTATGAGCAAAAAAGTTTTTTTCGAAAAATTCCCGTGCCCTCCCTCAGGGATGGTCTGGTCAAAAATCACAATTTTTTCGATAACTCAGCCATTTCTTGACGGATCCTTTTCATCTTCGAACTCGACCGAGATATTGTTAAGACTAAACTGTGTAGAAAATTTCATCTCGATCGGACTCTCCTTTCAAAATTTATCGTATTAACGGCCGGCCGGACGGCCGGACACACTGACCGATTCTAGTAGTGTACTCACTTTTTGAGTACACAAAAAGTGCGTGAACATGTAATTTTGAAAGAGTAACGCTTAGAAATGTTTCTATATAGACAAGCGCCAACTGATTTTTGTATTTCAGTTGAAAGCTATAACTTTGAACAGTTGGTGTGGGTGGTGTGGGTGTGGGTGGATGTGGGGGCTGATTGTGGGGTGTGAGGAAAACACGGACTAGAGCCCCCACACTCACACCACACACCCACACCCACACTCACACACCCATCCATACCCACACCCACACCCACACCCCACCCTGTACGCTCGAATATGATATCTCTTAACCAGGATGGTTTTCCACGTGCCTACTATGAAGCTATCAATAAAGGGGATCTCTATGCTAGACCAAGTAACATATCAGCCAACAGTGAGCGCAAAGCATTTACCCAATCGGGAATCGAAAGAGCTTGGGACTGTTCTGATCGTATTCCTGGAACAAATCCTGTTTTGTATCGTAAAGATCGTGTCGGCAATGTCTTATATCGCCCCAGTTATGGTGGTAACACAGAAAATGAGTTGGGATGTTGATCATTGTCGTGCTTTAGTAGCTGGGGAACAAATGTATCACGCTAATAACCACCAAGCGTTACAGCATCAACAGAACGCTAGTAAAGGTAGTCAGCCTTCGAAATCGTATTTTGCCGATTGTAAACCCATGGATATAGCTGTCGTTCATGCGCAAGATATTGATTATCGTTCAAGTTCTGTACGTAATGGAGAATTATACTTGAAACCTGACGGAACTGTAGATCAAAGAAGTTCTGTCGTTCGCAGTGGTAATGTTCGAATAACACGGGATGGTGGAATTGACGGAAGATCCGCAGCAGTAAAAAGAGGCAATGTCGTCAAACGCTAAAACAAAAACTAGATTATTCTTGCTCGTCCAAGTCATGTGTTATCTTTGTTTTCTTCCTGAATGATATCTCACTCTTTTCTATCTCAGCTAACTCAACTGCGTTTTTTCTGCAATAATCACTTTTTTATGGTCATTGGTCTCTATCTTCTACCGTTTTTTCTCCAATTCATTTTTCTTTTTTTGTACCCCATCTTCCGAAAAGTATGAAAATCTGAATTACAATATACGTATAACTTAATCATTTTATCTTTTAACTTTCATTCAGATACAGAATGTAGGTTTAATATTTTACTACAGTTGAAAACTATTTGGAATGAAAACGGAAAAATTGTACACCGAATCTGCATCAAGATAAATTTCAGTTAGCTCTGTCAAAACAATTCAGATCTTTAGCGGTCATATCATATAATGACATAAATTGGAATATAAGAATACATTATGGTACATAATAAGAACAGAAGATCTTCGACATTTTAACCTCATGATGTGTGAGTAAATATTAAAGGTATGAGAATGGGTATACAAAAATCTCTAGATAGACAGTTTTTAGAATTCAATATGTTTTGAGATAGTATTTATCACTTTTAACACATATATTGTGCTTTTATTTTGATAGGGTGCGCGAGAATATAAAGAGATGACCCTTTCTTACACCACATCTCATCCGTACCAACAGCTACATCCATACTCACACTCACATTGTGAATATGAACATGAAATGACAACCGAATATTCCACCATCAATTTGACATGTATGTATAAAAATTTTTCTTTGAAAATGATTTATCTTCATTATAGATTTATAATCTTTACTAAGATACACATATAAATTTTTGGTATGGTCAAAATCATCATTTCTATAGGTATGAATTCTTTCATGAAGTTATAAGCAACTCATGATTTTATTTTACTATTTATTTCAATGGTTCATTTATCTTCATTTGAACTGTCATATACTTACTATTCATGATTGACTTTTATATCAATTCATTATCTGGGCATTAGAGATTTTATTCTAACATCAAACTCATTTAGAACCATTTACATTAATTATCATGCTGATATTGGAGATATTAGTACTCAACTGTTCAAATCAAATAATATTCATTATCAAAATGATGTAAATCTCGAAGTAAAATGTGGAAATTTTAAGTAAACGAACACGTCTCAATGTTGGTTTTTTTGTTTAAGAGGCAAAAAAAAATCAAAAAATTTATTTTATATCAACTATACGGCTTGTCCACGTAACGCGACACCTCAGGCATTAAGTATTTATTT